AGGTGGTGAGGGATATACTTGGTACTTTATAACCCCATTCTCTCTACTTTTGTATGCGTTCGATATTTTCTCTGTTAAAAAAAGAGCAACAATCTAGTAAGTGGAAGCATTTGCAGGATGTCACCTCAAGTCTCGAGACTTTAAAAACCCATCGTTGATGAATTGTCACCTCTGCTCTCCAAGAATATTGCAGTTTGGGTGGCCAAACCCTTTGCCTCTGCCAGTCTGCCCTCTCTGAAGGGAAAACGCTTGTTTCAGCGCCAGCTTTTAGGAGGAAGCATGACGTCAGGAGGACTGAATGGTGTCTCCCATGTTTCCCGGACATGTCCTCTCATTTCTTCCTGTCAGAGATGCTTTCCGCAAACACTGAGGTATTGATTTTCCGATTGATCAAGGTGGGGAATGCTTCATATAGTTATGACTCCTGACAAACTGGGAATAAAAAGCCAATCATAATGAGTTCACTTACTTTCCTTGATTATATTACTTTATAACACACGATGTACACCGACACACCCTTTCACGAGCGCCTCCTTTCTAAGCCGCCGGCTCTTGCTAATGCTGCCAGTTGATGCTGAACTCCATCTTGATGCAGGATGTGGGAATCTAAAAATTATCCTTTGTGGGATGGTTTCTTTTTAAACACCACAGCCCTGCTCCACAACAGTTCCTGCACCCAGGAAGACTTGATGGATAAAGTGAGAACCGCTGGGATCCGGGACACAGGTTTACAGAGGGTGTTAGCTGAGCAACGGGGAAACATGCAGTGAAGGCCAAATTGTTGGTTATAGATGTGCTGTATTTTCACTATTGATTATATGGCACTGAAATGAAAGGATTGCCTGATTAGATCATGTTTAGCCATAAGCATACCCTGTGTGCTTCAGCTCTGGGCACTTGCAAGAGACTAACCAAGTATCTGAGATGAAGAGCGAGGCGTGTTCGGCGCTCTGGACAGCCGTGGGCCGTTCCTGTTCAGTGCAGATGCTGTGGGACGCTGCTCCGCTTTTCATGAGCCTCACAGAGATTCTCTGTTCAGCCCAGCCTCCCGGGGCTGCGCAGAGACCTTCTGTGCATCCTCTCACCCAATCAGGAAATAGAGACTAAATGGGACTTCTGTTTGAGATTTGGATGGCTGGCTAGTCCTTTTCCATAAGTTTCTGGGGGTAAGGTCTAGAGTTGAGTGGTAACAAATGGAGGCTGATTCTTCTTAAAATAAAATGTCTTACAATGAAAGCCCAGCTCTCCAGAACTCCCAGGAAATGAATGGGGCTGCCCGCGGTGACTCAGAAGAGAGACCATTTGTCCCCTGGAGCCCTGTGGAGTCTTGTTGCTAATCTCCTTGGGTGACTTGTTTAAAAAGAAAAAAAAAAGGATCCTGCTCTTCCCTGCCTTCTTAACAGTGTGTATTGAACACACGTAGCTGTTCCTTGATGAGTGAGGTCAGCCTTCCTTTGCCTGCTGGGTGGCAGTCCGACCGGTCACGGAGCTCACCGCCCCGTGTTCCACTTAATCTCGTGAGAACACCCTCTAGAACAGGGCTGACACGGTCTGGTCAGCCTCTTCCTGCGTGACTGGGGTGAGTGACCAGAGCCCCTCAGTCTCACAGACCCCTCTGAGATGTGTCCTTACTGTAGGGCCAGAGGGAGAATTCAGCGAGCAATGCAGGATCAGCCCAGGACGACGCCAGGGGAAGGAGTTCGGGGCACACACAAATCAACAGCTTTGTGCCATCACCACCCTGACTCCTCGCACTAGAGGTTTTCGGCTCCCTACGTGCTTAGCCAGGGACTTGAGCCTCCTTTTATTTGCTGCTTAATTCCTCTTTCCCCTAGACCAAGGCCTGGGCACGTACACGCTGCTGGAGTGAGGGTGGCATGTGTGGCCACTGCCTTCGCTACCTTCTCTTGGGCTTCGGGTGGGATCCTCTCCGCATCGGGCTCCTCAGATGGGACCTGGAAGATGAATTTTCCACCAGCCTGGTGGTGACTCCAAGACGGGGTCTCATTCTGGCCCTGCCATGCCTCCTCCACATGACCTTGGACAAGTTATTCCATCTCTCTGAGCCTCAGTAGCCTCCTCTGGAAAATGGGACTACAACATTTAAGCCATAAGATTGAGCCAAAAGTGTAAGACGACGAGAGAGAATCCCCCACAAACTCCAAGTTCTTTGGATGGAGTTCCAGAAAGGTGGCAATTAATCTGCCCCCTCAGACAGGCAAGGCACTCCCAGGCTTCGATTTGGGCTGAGTTGTTTAATTTTCACTTCTGCTAACAGCCTGCCTTTAATGTCACCTCTGTCCTTATTCATTCCTGGCTTTCTAAGCTGCCACGGAAACCTCTCTAGGCAAAACAGTAAAAGTGAATGATAAGTCAGAGCCAGGTTCATTCTCGGTAATATATAACTTGGCCACTGAAGCAATTACTTAATGTAATGTTCCCAGGGAAGGGAAGGGGAGGCTGAGCCCACTGAGTGGGTGTCTGTGTGTGCCAGGCGCCGGCCGGGCCCCTCGTCCTGGAGGGTCCTCTTGGCACTCGGGTTTCGAGGCTGGCCTTTTTCTGACACTCCCATCCGTCTGGGCCCACTAATCCTGGCCACTATTTCAGCCGCAGCGAGACAAGCAGCACCCTGCCATCGTTTTCTCCAAGCTCTCGCCCCTCGGCTGGGTCCACAGGTGCAGGTGGAGGGCTGACCTTTGGGCGAGCTTGGCCAGAAGGTGTGTTTGATTTCCTTGCCCCTTTAGTGGAGACAGAAAAGACTGCAGAGTACGTGGGGGGGTGTCTGCCCCACCTGTGGACCCCAGGCGTGACTCAGGCTGCAGGGTTCCTCTGGCTGAGAGACCCCAGGCAGGCCTCAGCACCTCAGTTTCCCCATCTGTCTTTTACAGAAGGGCCCTTGCAGTACTTGATTACTCTTGGTGAGTCCTGGAGGCCCACGGCCTGTCTTTCTCCCTGCTGAGAGCAGGGCAGGCTCCTCAAGCTTCCTCTGCTTCCCTCACCCCGTGGGGTCCCCCAGGCCACCAGTCCCACCCGGACAGGCAGGCTGGAGCCAGAGAGGGGCCAGGCCTCCATGATCCCGGCCCGCAGGGAACCATGCACTCACGATTCCCCCTCCTGCTGGAGCCCCAGGCCCCTGCCCCTCCCCTGCCCCTCCGCTCCCCGCCGGGCTGTTTCCACTCGCTCACTCAGAGGCAGCCCCCTCCCGATTGCAGGGCCTCTATGTATGGGCACGCGTCTGTCTGTCTGTCCCTTGGAATCTCATCAGCAGGGTGTCCTGTGCGCCCACCCCCAACACACCACCTGGCATAGAGCGGGCCCTCTGTTAGCATTTGTTGAGTGAGTATGTGGATGAAATGGGGATCTAAGCCGAGCCCTTCACGCCCCTCCCTACCTGCCCACAGCTTTCTCATCCTTGAAATGGCAGAGCTTTGCACTAGATGGTTTTTCCCTGATGGTGGTGCTTTATAGTTCAGCCAACAATTCTCCCTAGAGGAGTTCTCCATGAGGCCACAAGCGAGGAGACAGAGACCTCTCTGTGCCTTTGGCCAGGTGCTCCTGTGTGGCTGGGAGAAGCTCCAGCTTGGAACAGAGCCCTCCTCCACGCGCTCTGCAGCAGGCGGAGGACACAGCGTGCTTCAGTTGGCCCCTCATTCTGTGGGCCACTGACACACAGGCCCAACAGCGGAAATGCAGGATGCAATGGCTCAGGGTGGGACCAGGCAGGGCCACCACCTAGCGAATGGGCAGCAGGGAAATCGGCGCAGAGGCCTAAGGAAAGTGCAGTCTGGGTGCCTTCACCTGCTTTCATTCCCTGCCTGTGATCAGAGCATTTCAAACTGGGTGGGGAGTGGGTGTTGAAAATACACCCATTGGGCCTTCAGTAAGTCAACACTGTGCAGAGCAAAGAGAAAAAGGTCTCAACACCTGCCTGTGAGTCTCCCAAACATGGCAGCACCTGGTCCATCTGAAGAGACCAACCTCCTTCCTGCAACTACAGGGCACACAAGCTTACACAAACATGTATTTCCAGAACATAGCCTCGGAACACTCGAGTTCCATTAACCATTTCTAGAAGCTACAGAAAACCAGTGGTTTGCTTGTCAACTGCTGGGTCCCAGTCACTCGCTCCCTCTTCTGGGGGGAACGCAGGGTGTAACCGGCTGTGCCTGGAGACTCCACGGGGTCTAGTTTCTTCTTTAAAGCCATGTGAAGACCTCTGTGTTTAAGAGGAAGCCAGAACACAGCAGAGAAAACTAGGGTGATTTCTTTTTTAAGAATGCAGTTTTCCAATAACACTAACTACTCATACCAAGACCCCTCTGTCCCTGTGTTCACACATCCCCTCCTCTGCTCCCGAAGTTGTCTGCATTGTCCTCTGTCCCAACAGAGCTCTCCTCAAGTTCAAAATCTCTGTTAATACTCCTGTTTCCCTCTCCCGACCAGGGGTTGGCAGGCTCTTGCTCAAAAGGACCGCATAGCAAATACGTTAAAGTTGGCAGAGCATATGATCCCTGCCACATGACTCTACTCTTGACACATGAACAGGCAGTGTGTAGATGGGTGTAGATTTATCTACAAAAACTAGAGGACTGGATTTGACCCATGGTTTGCTGACCCCTTACTCTAGACTGTGAGTTCCTTGAGGAAAGAGACACCAAAATTTCTCCTTATCTCCTCAATGCTTAGTACCATGTCTGGCATGTAAAAGGCACTCATCAAATACTCAACAATGGGAGCATGAATGAATGAAAAACAAACTGTTTTCCCCAAATAAGTACAGCCCAAAAGAAGTCTTTCTACATTTGCTGTTCTAAATACTTGAGAGAGATTATAATTTGTTAAAATGAAAGAAATCAGCCTGTATTAAGCACTCGGAATATGTCAGGCAGCGTACTGTCCTACATTTCTTATTTCGATCCCAACCACAGGCTGAACCAATGCCCCGCGCAGTCCTGAATGACTTGTAGGCAGTTGGCTCCCCGAGGAAGCAGAACAGACTCCACGAACCACTGTCAGTTTTAATTCACAAACTATGCAAGTATAAGGGCACCCCGACTGTGAACCCGGCTGCTATCAGAGCTGTCATGGAATTCTGGATCTGCAAATCCAACTGCAATGAACTGGCTCCCCGTCTGGCACGGGAATAAAGCCATAACTGCCCAGGCCAGATCAAGGTAGAGGGTAGGGGAAGACACCTGCAACACTTTGCATTTCCCCCAAAATAAAATGAAGGAAAGCATGCGGAGGCTGTGTTGAGTCAGGGAATCAGGTGGATTTGTTTTAAAGGAATCAACTGTTTGCCTGAATGCCCAGGATCCTCGACAACAGCAGAGAGCAATCCCCCACGCTGTCGTGCAGGACTTCTTTCGGCAAGCGGCATCCCCCGGTCGGTGCCCTCCACCCCAGCTTCCCGTTCATCCGACACAGCACTTCGCGCTTTGTCCGTGAAGTTCCGAGCTGCCCCCTTCTCCCCACTGGGTTCTCAGCTGAAAAGAAAAGGAAGAGTGCCCGGCACGTAAGGGGTCAGGTGCCACCTTGCTGGCCTGCTGCAGCGAAGCCCAAAAGTGAAATGGGTCCGAGCCACGAGGAAATGTGGGTAGGGGACCGAGTCAAGAACTCAGTCATCGGGAAAAGCATCTGTCTGACCTCATTCGTTCTGCACGGTCGGGAATCACATTTATGCTGTCCTCACATTCTCAGGGCACAAGTGACTCCAGAAATCAGGCTGGAAGAATGCATTTTCCTTCACTATTTGGTTCTTACCTCTTCTGAAGTTTCCAAAGTATGACTTTGAGCCTGAAGGAGAGAGGGAGAGAGCCTCCTCTGTTTATAAAAGTATTTGTTTTCCATTACATTTACTTAAACAGCAAGCTCTCTAATTGATTTTTAATAGTTTATCCATTTATTAAGCTGACTGGGCAATACAAGCATCTAGTTAAAAAATAATTCCAAAGGTACGAAAGGGTACGTCTGTCTCCCTCCCCAGAGACGACAAGCAGTGCTACAGGTTTCTTCTGCATTCTTCCAGAGATATGCTTTGTATGTCTGAGCACGTGTATACATGTATCTTCTTAAACTAATGGAGGAATATTCTATCCACAGTGTCTGCACCTGGCTTTCTTACTCTGCAATCTGTCTTGAGGCTCATCCATATCGGTGTGCACGAAGCTGCCTCATCCTTCTCCCTGGGTGCAGTGCATCAGGCCGCTCAGACACCCCATCATTTGTGCAGGCAGCCCCTAGCGATGGGCATTCGTTCTTGGCTGGAATTTTCTAAAGAATGAGATTAACACTCGAATGCAAGGGAACACGGAGGCTGAGCAAGGTGCGGCCTGGCTGGTACACCTGGCACAAGGCCGGGGCGCTCGGAGCAGAGCCCCTCCTGGGAGGCGTTTTGAGGAAGAGATGCACACATCTGCGAGTTGGTTTCGTGTTGCCGGGGGAGACAGAGGGATCTCAGGGCGCTGATGTTGGAAGTGCAGTGGGGGCTGGTGCTCAGGTTGTGTTACCATGGTAACCCAGTCCCCAAACACCGCCAGGCGTCTCTGGAAACCTTCGCCCCTTCACACCAATCCAGGAGCTGACCCCAGGGGGTGGGGCCCCGGTGGCCTCAGAAGAGAACAATTCTCCTCACGTTTTCTCTCCCCCCTGCAGCAGGGAGGCATTTGGTTCTCCTCGTCTCTGAACACATCATTCTGGGGACTGGAGAGCTGGGGAAAGAGCCAAAGCTGCTCCGGGCTGTGGCTTCCCAGCTCCCGAGGGGCCTGTGGGCTCACCACCCTCTTCCCTGTTTCTTTAGGGCTTTCAGATCCCACCTTGGATACAAACAAAGCTTAGTAAAAACCCAAACCAAACCACATGATGTTGACAAAAAATATTATACAACCCCTGGGGAGCAAGACAACCGAGCTGTGGCACTCTGTGTACTTTTTCATGAAACATGTGAGGCGTGTTGCACAGTTTGATCCCCAAACCGATTTGGGCCTTAAGGAGACCGCAGCCTCCCATTTCATTTTCTTAGTAAGAAAATGAATTGCTTTGGCAACATACCACCTTTTAAAATAAGAATTCTGCAAAATATTTTAACATATGAGTGACTCAGTCTAAAAATTAGTAAACCTTTAAAAGCCAAGTTTCAAAGCCAGCATCTTAATTTAGAGTACAGAGTGGTAAAACAAAAATAAGACAAATCATTAGGCATACACAACATCCTGTAAGCAACTGCTCTGCACGTGGGCAGCTCGCAGATCCCGTTCAAGGAATCTCAGCAAAAACGAAGTGCCAGCTCCACAGGGCACTGGCATGTTTCTGCAACCTGAGGCAGCCGGTGGGCAATGAGAGGCCCCCCATCCAGGCTGCTGACCCTGCAAAGACACGCAGGGCCTAACTTGCCCCACCAACTTCAAGAGAACACATACAAAAGGATGACTCAGCAGATGGGAAGTAATGATTCCCAGGCCCTGAGCTGAGCCCATCTCAGCTGGTCTTATCAATTAGCAGTATTTCCAAATGCTACCATGGGGACATTAAGACCTGTCAGATGTGCCCTTCCATTTAATGGGAATATTATGAAGGCTGGTGGTCTTCAGAAAGTCCTCATTAAAGTAATGAAGGTGAAGAGGGCATGCCTCCAGTCAGGCAGCAGAATCCTGGCAGACAGCGCCAAGTTGCTGGAAGCTCCAGGCCCACCTCCCCTAACCTGGAACAGGTGAGAGGGGAGAGACCTTTGGGGGTGAGGAGCAGGTGCCTACCCGGACCCCACCTGACAAAGATACCTTCCTTAAGAGGGCCCACAGCCCTTTCTACTGGTCACCAAAAGGCAATTGATTATGAGGGGCCTAAGAGTGGCCTCTGAAAGCAAACGGCCTGGCTAGGGAGTCTCTGGGGCCCAGGGGGCTCATGCGACCTGAAGAGGCCCAGTGCTTGGAACTACCTAGACACGTGCTCTTGGCATAAACGCTGACTCGCAGCTGAAATGGAGGGGAGCTGGCTGCAGACAGCGTTTCAAGAGCCTGGTGCTTCCCAAGGTGGAGGTAAGGATGCCTGGGATTTCAAGTCCATGGGTTCAGCCTCCCGAGAGCAGAAGTGGTCTGGCAGAAGAGCCTGGATGAGTTCCCTCTGCCTGGACTTGGGGCTCTGACCTTGAAGCCTGGAGCTAGCAGGACATCTCCACAGATCTGGAGGAGAAGGGGGCTTGGCAGAGGTGCCCAGAGGTCACAGAACCAACCAGAAGAGGATGCTTCCTGAACATTCTCTGGCCTACGGCCTGAGCCAGCCAGCTTCTCAGGGCCCCGCCGGGGCCTCTGTGCGCAGCTCCTTTAGCAAACGTGTCCTGGGGAACCAGGGCTCCGTCTCCCCTGCAGGTTTCCACCCGGGAAGCCACTAGCTGCTTCCCACCTGATGCCACGTCTGCTCTCAATCCCAGAAGCCAGGAATTATGGCAGGACTGGGCCTTTCAGTAAATTGAACTGCAGGAGCTACCAGCCACCAGCTTCAGAAGCCAAATTCTTGCCCATCTTCAGACAGCCCAGGCTTGGAAAGAAAAATCCAGCAATGATTTGAAACTGGTTACGTGTAGAGAGCGACATGGACCAGGATAAATGAGAGACCGTGACCATCCGAAAACACTTCAGGATCCTTTTCCATGAATTAAGGTATCTGGATCCACAACTCAGACATATCCCTGATTCAAGGAATGGATTGGCACCAGCGCCAGCCAGGGTGGGAGCCGGCTGCCACTGGACAGGCCAGGAGAGAGTTTGTAAGTAAGAACTCCCCATGAAAAATCATTTTTCCAACAGAAATCTTTGCTGGCTGGAGCCCATGGTCATTTTATACAACGATCTGAGCAAGCTTTTATGAGACAGCAAGTGTGGTCAGGGGTGCGTGCCTTCCGCTGGGAGCCCTGCAGAGCGTGGGAAGTGTACCGCCTGGAGAGCTGGAAGCCGCTGGAATGGGGGTTCCAACTGTTCAGCACTGTGGGTGGTACTGGGCCACCATCTCTCCTTACCTGTGGGTCAGAACTGCCGGGTTACCGGAAGCAAAGTGTTGATACGCCTGGTTCTGGGTCAGGCTATGTGAGTGCAAGTGGGCCTGGGGACTGGCTGTCTAGCCACCAGAGTCGTCTGTCGCTGTGACAGCCTCTGTACTTGCCACCAAGAGGCCTCCTGGGAAGCAGACAGGGGTGGAGGAGGCGTGGGGGCCGGCCCTGCAAGTCCAGTCCCCTGGGCCCGCCTAGGTCTGCATTTTTCCAGGCCCTGTCTGACGGGAATGCTGGAATGCAAAGGCTCAGGTGCTCAGGCAGCCAGGCTGCCAGGGTGAGAAGGACCCCAGGGTCCTGGGCCTCGCCTTCCCTCTGGTCCCCAGGCGCCGCTATGTGAAGTTGACCAAGATCCCAGATCGGCCCCATGTTGCCCTGCAGCTTGTTGCTGCCCCCGGCCTCCCTCTCCCCTTCCCTCTGTGCTGCTGTCAGGAAGAGAAAGACGTGGATGAGTTTGCATGCTGCCACCTTACCACTGAAGCTGACTAGAAACCTGGCGCTGCAGATGTAGACCCAGCGCTTCCCCAGGAGAGCCTTGCGGAAGGAGCCCAGAGTGGCCCTCAGGACGGTGCTGGGCCCTGCCGGAGGAAGGGCGGGCTGGGGAGGGGTCGGGCCGGGCCGCCTGCCTGGCTCTCCTGACTGCTGCCTCCCTAACTCCCCCTAGCACCTACAGACTGCCAGTTCTTGGGACAACCAGCCGCAGTGCTCACTTCTTTGGTTTCTACCATGTTCTCTTTCCATAGGAGCTGGCAGGGCCAGCAGGTTGGATTTCTCTCACAGGCAGGAGGAAGGGGGCTGCAGGGGATGTGGGTGCCAAAGGAGCTGGCCTGCAGGCATCTAAGGCTAGCTGGAGACACCCCACCACCCTGTGGCCCTGCCCAATGGCTAGGGAGGGGGTACAGCCAGGGGTGGGACACTGGACTCGCAGAAGCACCAGGGTTCAGAGGGCTTCCCCCAAGTCACCTGCTCGCCCCGCCCCCAGGGGAATGTCTCTTCTCAGGACGGGCGCTGCGGCTAGGATCCTGCCCACAGCCAGGGAACTCGAGACCCAAAGCCCAGCACTGGGTGCCTCCCTGGATGATCCGCTGTCTTTGGGTCCTGCCCTGAGCTTCTGACAGTGACCTGGGCACCTGCAACCACTGCCGTGTGTCCTTTGAGAGCTACGGGGAGGCTGGATGGAGGCAAGCCAGGAGCAGGGTCCCAGGGACTCTAGGATTCTGAGAAGAATGGTTAACTTCAAAATCCACACATAAACGTCCCGTGAAGCTACTAGGGCAGCGGGCAGGTCATCCAGGGAACTCAACAGCTCGCTTCCCCCAATTCTTCCTTCTAAGCCTCTTCCTTCACCTCTGCCAACATCTGCCTCTTCAGGACCTGCTGGAGCAGCCACCAAAATAGAAGTGCTTAGAGACTCTGCAGTGGAAAACAAATGATACGCTTATTGCTTGCCCACAGCCTCCCCAGGACATGAATCATGAGTTTCCATCCTGTCACTGGGGCCAGGAGTGGAAACAGGTGTCTGTTTCTTTCTGAGGCCCCATCGTCCTGGGCACATAGGCCACAGCAGCTCAGTGGAAGGGGAATTGGGCGGCAGCCAAGGGGCATCCACGCCGTGCTAGGGTGCACCTGCCCCTCGGAGCTCATGGGGTACCAGAGCAGAGGGGTATGCTGCCCACCCCTCCCCATCCTGCAGAGGAATCTGAAGGTGAGTGAAGACTAATGCACACAGGGCCCCCTAGAGTAGGGGGTTCAGCTGCGGCCTACCCCTGGGCCCCTGATGGGCTCCCAAGACAGGAAGAGATGTGGCCCTACCTGGGCACCCAGGTGGAGACATAGCGGTGGGTAGGGTTTGAGATCCTGGCTGGGGAGGAACCAGTCTGGGACATGTGGAGCCTATGGCAAACTTGGGGAGGACCAGGAGGTGGCATGGCAGCCAGGCAGGGTGAGCTACGCAGGGCCAGGCAGCAGGGGCCCAGAAAAGAGAAGCGTGTGCGGCCTCTGCCCTGCCACCCACCCACACCTTCCCTCAGAACAAGAAGTGCATCCTTTGAGTCTTCCCTGAGCCTCTCCGCGGCCCCCATGGCACCTCCTGCCAACACTCTTGAGCCAAGAAGCAGCTGTGAGTGGCTAATCTTGGAGCCTCACGGAGGCCTTTGGAAGGTCCTTGGTAGATTTCCAGAATAAATGGATGAGACAGAAGTCCCGGCAGTAGGAGCCCAGGGCAGCTTTGGGAATTGCCTCTAAGTTGTCCGGGCTGTTCCATCATTCAGGCAGACACCGGGAGGGGCCCTCTGTATGTCCAGCCTGTGCTGGGCATCGTGGGGACCACTCGGGATGTAGCTCTGCCCTCCAAGGAGTTAAAACATAGTTTAGACAGCAGTGGTCCCCAGAAATCACTGGAGAGCCCAGTAAGACAGCCAGTGATATGGGGCATGTCTGTGCCATTCAGAATCTCACGCCTCTTTCTCAGCAGGAGGTGAGGATGGCGTTGGAGGGTCAGGAATGTGGATGCCCCCCACCCACCTATCCACCTACCCTGGCATCTTCCGGTCAGCACAGCCTCTCTTGGAAAAAGAAAAGTCTAGCTCAGCAATTCTCAGCCTAGGGGGTTTGCCCCCAGGGGACCTTTGGCAGTGTCTGGAGACATTTCTGGCTGTGACACCTAGAGGTGGGGGTGACCCTGGCATCTAGTGGGAGGACAGAGATGCTGCTCAGCATCGTGCTGTGCATACAGCTCCCAACAAAGAGGAGCGCACCCTAAACACCGATCACGCGAAAGCAGAGAAACCTCGCTCAGCCAGACATGGTGCCCACACGCCGGGGCCTTACGTGCTGGGATCTCCTATCCCCACCTCAGTAAAATCAGCAGCACATGGTCCTACCCTTTACGAGGTTTGTTTCACTCTCGGCACAATGGAATGAGATGGCGCACATTTCAAAGGCTCCAGGACATAAAAAAAATTATCATTCTCGCTGTTATTCAGAACCTAAAACTGGCTGGACAGCGACAGAAGCCCATGAACTTCACACTCCCCATCCACATTTTTCTTGCCCAAAGCACGTTCTCCACAAGAGCGTGGGGGTAATAGCTCCTCTGGGGAGCTGCCAGGCCTCCCCACATGCACCCAGCCACAGTCTAAACCCTTTGACTGGGACGACTGGCCCCCTCCTGGGGTGGTGGGTGCTCAGAGCAGCCCCACTGACCTCCGCCCTGGCAGACTCGTGTGTGCCCTTCTGCTCCTATTTTTATCTTGGCAATTAAGAGGTTTCATGCTACAATTCTCAGGATTGGGCCAGTTTGGGGTTTGCAGGCCATCACCCCGGTGTGGGGGGCTCCTGGCTGGGAATGCTTACTCTTCTCCAAAGCAGAGGAGCTGAAAGGCTTGAGGGGTGCCCACTTCCCCCTCCATGCTCCTCACCTCACAGAGGGGAGGCCTGGCAGCTCCCACCTGGGAAAGCTGTGGCCTAGCAAAGGACGGCGGCCACTTAGAGGCTCGGGTCCAGGAGGCCTAGAGCCACAGGCTCCATGGCCCTCTCAGGGCGCCTGAGATGAGACCCAGAGGCTGCGGACACCAGCGTGGAGGGTGTTTTCCATGAACGTTCTGGCACAGAAGCCGTGTGAAACTCCAAGGGAGGTGGGGGTGGTGCTCCAATCCGAGGCCTGGTTCCTAAAGAGGCTGCTCCAGACCCCAAGTGCTCCTGCCGTGTTTCCCTGGCCCTCCTGCCAGCACCCCGGACTTCACCTCCCTGCAGGTATGGCCATGGCCTCTGGGCTGCCCTTGCTGCCTCCCCCGTCTGGCCTCCTATCTCACCTGTTCCTCACTGGCTTTTGGAAAAATAATCCTAGGGTGTCTGCAGTATAATTCCCCTCCCCCGCAGCACACCCCTCCACACTGGCTCGGCAGCATTTGGGGACCTCCAGGGTCTGCACACCGTATTTAAACTCCCTGTATTCAAACTCCCTGGCTGCTTCAAAGTCTCGTGTGTCTGTCACTCCAGAACCCAGGATGTGGCTTGCACGCTGCAGTGAATACAACACGCCCTGTTCTGCATCCACACTGCATCGTTAGAGGGCCACACACACGCCAATGTGAAAGTGCACTGGGTTCAGAGCCTTCCCCAGAGAAGCACAGCAGCCGGCCAGGTCAGGGCAGCTTCCGGAGGAGGCGGGTGCTGGGCCGGAGGACGGAGCAGTGGGGCCTGGGTCGAGGGGAGCAACTGAGCCTGACAGCTCTCTGTGGGGCTGAGGAGGGAAGCTGGGGCCTAGAGACAGGAAGGTCAGGGATGGCCCTGGAGCCGGCCTGGTGGTTTTTGTCCTAAGCATGATGGGGAGCCACTGAAGGTTCTAGGCTGCCACAGGGGAAGGCCAGATTTACTGGAAAGAATGTCTCTAGATGCCAATCAGGAAGTAGACGGGGCACTGGGTGGGTGGGCAGAGCAGGGGCGTCATCACAGAGGTCCAGGGAGAGCCAGGCAGTGTGCTGCGGGGTGGTGAGGTGAAGAGGGCATGGGTGTTTCCAGAGAAATTTAGGACAATGTAAAAGATCCACATGGTGTGTCAGGTATGGCGTTAGGGGAGGGAGACAATGTACTTGCCGGGTTCGGTTGGATGGAGACCCATTCACGGAGAGAGGGCGCTCAGGAAGGCGGGGTTGGGGGGCACGGTTAGGAGCAGGGGAGGTCTGAGGGCCCTTAGCACAGCAGCACCTTTCCCCCCTTAACTGCAGCTCCTGACATGCCGAGGGTGACTCATTGCACAGTGAATACACACGCTTCACCCGGGCCCTTCCTCGGCCAGGAATGCACCTGCCGCCACCTCACATCACTCCACAGAGACCTGCCCTGTCCTCCAAAAGCTCTTCCTCCAAGAAGCCTTGTGGGATGATCCAGCTGTCACTCACCTCCCTAACTGAAGCAGTGAAGTGAAGCCCAGAGACACCCAGCCACCGCCTTCCAAGACGAAGGCCAGCAGGAGCCCCCGGAAGGGGTTCCAACTCTGCCTCCCCTCGCCCTGCACACCAGCCATACACACCCATGCCTGAGCCCCCTCCCCAGACGGTAGTTTCTGGAGGACAGAAAACCAGCCCTGTGGTCTCTGTAGCCTCCACCGCCGCCACCCCCACCCCATGCCCACCGGGGCCTTGCCTGGAGCCACCACTCAGCCCAGGTGTTAAGGACAGCCTCCCGTGCCAGCCCTGGGGGAGCAGAGCTGCATGGGCATCTCAGTGTGTGCATTCCAAACAGGCAGCGGGAGGTGCTTGCTAAACACCTTTTTATCTCTTGCTTAGAGCCGAGGTCAAGCCAATGGATCTGTGCAGAAACGCTCTTTAAAATGCATTACGTGCAGGACTTCAAAGAGACACCCGCTGCTTGGTGTATTTCAAAAAGGTGCAAGTGGGTGATGAACGACCTCGGCTTGTTACCAGGCTGAGGAATAAGGGCTCTGTCTGTCTGCCAGGAAGTAAAGTGTGGGCATATGTCACCTTCGGGATGCGCTGGCGGGAGGCTCCTGAGCCCGTTGGACAGGAAGGCGCAGCCCCCAGTTCATCAGTGGTTCTGATGTGAGGGGCGGCCCAGTGGGAGGGAGAGGGGCCCCATGTCCATCAGGGGAGGTGGGGCTCAGCTTCCTGGCCCCTGTGCAGAGAGGAAGCTTCTGCGAAGCTGCCTCAAGTCATGGACAAACAGGTGTGACTGTTCCTTGTTTTTTTCTTTTTAACTAATCCAGCAGATTCTATCTTTGAACTTTTCCTTCCCGGGTGGTACTCCGAGACAGGTCTAAGGCAGTTTCATCCTAGCTTGGCTTGGTGGGAAAAAACTGGTTGAGTTTGTCTATAGTATATTAATTACATCCTCTGTTCTCTCTCCTCCTAGAGCTATCAGCAGAATTAAAACTGGGATGCACTCTTAGCAACCCGGTATTAAATCCACCCCATGTCCGGAGCCCCAGGTCAGCCACTGCAGGAAGAGGAAAGAGTCCAAGAGGCCGTCCTGGTGCTCCTCCTGGACTTGCGAACAGATGCAGGGGGACTCCAAGGCCATTACGGAGCTATGTGTCACTGAGTCCAAAGGGACAGTCTCTACACGGAGCAGAGGAACTCAGGAAGGTGCTGGGTGGAGGGGCGGCAGGCAGCGGGGCGCAGCCGGGGACCCCTGGGAGAGCCACATCTGCAGCGTGCCCTCTCTTGGGGCAGCAGAGACGGCTGCGTGTGCATTTCCTTCCTCCCATACTGCAAATCCATCCCCTGCTTACCTCGGGTGCTGGCACGGGGCTGTGCAGAGAAACACGCAGGAGAGAAGATGGGCTGGTCGCCTAGGAGAGGGCATGACTGCCCTGGGGAGAGTGGCTGGGCAATTACTCACACAGACGATTTCTTCCAAGACCCACAGCTTCTCAGCAGGGCCCTGGGAAGGCCACTATGTGCCCTAGGGTAAGTCATTTGCTTCTGAGAGCTGCATCTCCATCTGCAGATGAGAAGTGCCTGCTGCCCAGGCCCTGGTGCATCTGCCACGCCTGCACTTCCATACTCCGACCCAACAGAGCGATTGATGATCAAGGGCGTCGGACCTCGCCCTGTGCAGAGGGGCTGGCCCCTGGCTCAGCTTCCCTGGACAAGCCCCATCCACCAAGTGAGCGTCGGCTCAGCGCTCGTGGGGTGCCAGGAGTGGACAGGCTAGGGTGCTGTAGTGGATTTTCCTCGTGGTTTAACTCCACACTGGCGCATTTTTATGGCAGGCTTCCCACCTCCCTCCTGCTAAGGGGACAACAGAACATGCTGTCTTCCCATGTCAACTGCTCGGGCTGGAACCCTGCTTCTCCCCCCTGAGGAGAGCATGACCTGCGTGAGGGGCACTCCCCTCTGCCTCGGTTGCCTGGTCTATAGAATGAGGACTGAGACAGTGTAAAGTCCTTCAAATAGCCCTGACACAGGAAGCCCTCAATAAGGTCACTTCTTTCGGGGCGAATATTATCAGGATGCTGTTTTGAAAAGGAAGCGCACGGTCGCTGTGGCACACCTCCGAGAGTGTCTGACTTGGCCCTGATCGCTGCCTGAGGCCCGCTGCACAAGGTGCAGCTTCAGGTCTTCACTTGTGCCTGGTGACCTCGTGGGAGGTGCCTCCATCTCTTCCCATTTTGGGAGGAAAACACGGCGTGCAAATCCCCAGCCATCCACAGAATCCCACCTACGGGATGACTCGGTTCCTAGAAAAGAGACCAGGAAGAGAGGCCACAGGCAGGCTCTTCCAAACTGAGGCTTGGCCCCAGAAAACCCTGCCTCTGATGTCTCTGGACCATTGGATGGGAACCCCCTCCTCAAATCCTGGCTCTGCTCAACACTCGGGATGCGGTTGGTCTGTTTGTCAGACCCCACACATTACGTCAACAGGTAAGAGATGAAAACATGTCGCAGCTGCGTCTGTCCATCGGCCATAGCAGGTTTTCAAAATCGGCTGCGTTTTCCTCTCATGGCATATGGAAATTGGATGCTAAATTTTTGTTGGAAGTACTTGGGTCTATATTTAGACTTCATGAAATTGAAGTGGAAACCAGATCCACGCATCCCAGTTGTTCCAAACAAACTTTAAAGTTTTCCAATAACTGAGTCAAGTGTTAGTTTTGAATTTTCATTTTAATTAAGTAAAATGAAACATCTGCTCCTCAGTCACGTGAGCCACGTTTCAAGTGCTCAAAAGCCGCATGTAGCTGGTGGCGGCCGCTGCACAGGCTGGTGCCCAGAGAGAGCAAGTCTTCCTTCCATCATCAGTCCTGAAAGATCCCTTCCTGGGTGCCTCAGGGAAATGGGCGTGCTTGTGCACATCTCCACTGAACACATGAATGTTGGAAACTCAGGTACTGGCATGGGGGTGTGTGGGCAGCTGCAGGAGCCAGAGGAGGGTCCTTCCCCAGCCCCCAGCTCTAGCCACCGTGTCCCTGGGAGAGGGCATTGCCAGCTATGGGGAGCCACCAGAGCTCCCCCGCTACCCCGTGCCCAGCCCTGCATTTTAGTAGACAGTTTTCTCCCACTATATTTATTGAGTAGCTATTACAGGCTTGGTATTGTTTAGGTGCTGGGGACACAAACACATACAGATAAAACTGCTGTCTGCAGGAGCCACATTCTCCTGCCAGGTAGGGTCCTGAGGCTGATCAGCCTTACCGAGGTTCGGACCAGGCCTGCAGGATCTGCCCTTTTCAATCTTGAGCTCTTCTCCTTGTCCCTCATACCCTGTGAACGCCACCCAGCCTATTGCACATTTCGGGTCCCACACGCCTCCTGGGGCCCGGCCCACCTCCACCCTCCCCACCTCTCCCTCCTTCTCATTCCTCGAGGCCCACAACACTGTGGTAGCAGGAGGCCTCACCAGCTTGTGGCTCAGCCTGAAGATGATAAAGCCCATGGGGCCCACCCAACATCTGGAGCCAGGAGGAGCATGACATTCCTTCTGCCCTCACCGCTGAACCTGAGGGGAGAGCAGCGCCCACCTGCAGGGGTGACCTGCCTGGTGCCGTCCCCCTACCCTCCACAACCTCGCCTCTCCCCAAAGGGCCAACAGGCTCTACGTGCCCTAGGTGCCCCCTCACATCCTGACATCCCTGAGCCTCAGTTTCCTTGCCTGTCAAATGGGGAGAATCTGCCCCCTGCAGGTGGTAGAATTACATGGTGGATCCGCATTACCAGCACTAGTCCGTTCAGCGTGACATGTACGCTCTGTGTGAAGTGACGTGGCACGTGGGCGAGAGGCGGGCATCCTGGAGCCCCCTCTACCACCCCTTATGGACTGGGTGTTACCTGTGAGTCCCTTCAGCACTGTCCTCACCTCGACGGCAGTTGTGATATCAAACGGGTGGATTTATGTGGCTTTACTGACGTGGAGCAGGCGGATGGGCCAGCTGCCGGCTGTGCGGCCTGGGGCGGGTGGGGGGACAGGAGTGCAGGGGCAGCCCTGAGGCTGAATCCCTAGGACCAGGAGGTGGGAGAATTCCCCGAGGGAGGGAGAGAGGGGTGCGGTGTGAGCACAGACGCATCAGGAATTCAGTGGATAGTGTCCCAGACAGGAAAGTCGGACAGAGCCACAGAAGCATGCGTGTTACACTGCATGAAGCAAGGACCAAAGAGCAGACGGTGGGGGCCCAGGGGTCGGGCAAACGGACCCGAGAGCAGGACAAAGGACAGCTTTTTCAGGCTGAGCATTCAGAAATCTGTGGCCTTAAATTTACATACATTACTTCGTTAAAAAGAAAAAGTTAGAACAATACTAGATTTCCTTAATTCAATAATCATAGTAACAGACTCTGAGAGGCAGGGATATCGGAATGGATTATGTCAGGTTCATCTGTGGGTCATTTTTAAATGCTGGAGCAGCCACCAGTGAGTAGTACGCAGCAGTTAAAGAGAATGAGGTACATCTAATGTACCAAGGTGGAAAGGTGGGGCACGCTTGTACTGAAAACATATTTGTTGTTTATTCGAAATTCTGATGTAACTGGGTGTCCTGCATCTGCGTTGCTAACTCTGGTGGCAGCCCTGTGCTTTGAAGATCTGGGCCCTTTTGAGGGCTTGATGAGAAATGCGGGCCTTCTTCTGGAAGAGAGACCAGGCCCCACTCTGCAAACAATCCCAGGGACGGATCCCTCCGAAAGTCCACCCATGGGTTTAGATCAGGACCCAGCCAACTTTTTCTGCAAGGTGCCAGATGGCAAATATCTTCAGCAAAAGCGGCTATATACGGTACATATACAAACGGGCACGGGTGTGTGCCAATAAAACATTACAAGAAATTCAAATTTCAGTTCCCATAAATAATTTCCATATGTCAAGAAAAATATTCTTCTTTTGATTTTTCCCTTTTAAAAGTGTGAAAACCATTCTTAGCTGGCAGGCGGAAGTGCACCAACCCCTGGTTCAAGCCCCGGGGGGCTCCCTGGTGGGCTCCCCTCCTTGCACCAGGCACCGCCTCCCCATTTCTGCTGCAGCCAGGGGCCTCCTTTAGAATGAGGAGGACCTGACTGCTGTCCTCACGAGACATGAATAATTTGGAAGGAGCCTGCGCTGGTGGGGATTTTTAAGAAGACAGTTGCCAGAGAAGGAATAAAGGCTGGCATCTACCAGCGTGGTCATCTCTCTGATGATTCAGTCCAGCTGGGCCCTCAGCCCCAGGGTGTCCTGCCTCACAGCTGCCAGAGACGAGCACAGAAGTGGTCTTTCCTGCTGGGAGGGCCCCTTGAGGCAGGAGAAAACCAGCCCTGTGGTCTCTGTAGCCTCCACCGCCGCCACCCCCACCCCATGCCCACCGGGGCCTTGCCTGGAGCCACCACTCAGCCCAGGTGTTAAGGACAGCCTCCCGTGCCAGCCCTGGGGGAGCAGAGCTGCATGGGCATCTCAGTGTGTGCATTCCAAACAGGCAGCGGGAGGTGCTTGCTAAACACCTTTCTATCTCTTGCTTAGAGCCGAGGTCAAGCCAATGGATCTGTGCAGAAACGCTCTTTAAAATGCATTACGTGCAGGACTTCAAAGAGACACCCGCTGCTTGGTGTATTTCAAAAAGGTGCAAGTGGGTGATGAACGACCTCGGCTTGTTACCAGGCTGAGGAATAAGGGCTCTGTCTGTCTGCCAGGAAGTAAAGTGTGGGCATATGTCACCTTCGGGATGCGCTGGCGGGAGGCTCCTGAGCCCGTTGGACAGGAAGGCGCAGCCCCCAGTTCATCAGTGGTTCTGATGTGAGGGGCGGCCCAGTGGGAGGGAGAGGGGCCCCATGTCCATCAGGGGAGGTGGGGCTCAGCTTCCTGGCCCCTGTGCAGAGAGGAAGCTTCTGCGAAGCTGCCTCAAGTCATGGACAAACAGGTGTGACTGTTCCTTGTTTTTTTCTTTTTAACTAATCCAGCAGATTCTATCTTTGAACTTTTCCTTCCCGGGTGGTACTCCGAGACAGGTCTAAGGCAGTTTCATCCTAGCTTGGCTTGGTGGGAAAAAACTGGTTGAGTTTGTCTATAGTATATTAATTACATCCTCTGTTCTCTCTCCTCCTAGAGCTATCAGCAGAATTAAAACTGGGATGCACTCTTAGCAACCCGGTATTAAATCCACCCCATGTCCGGAGCCCCAGGTCAGCCACTGCAGGAAGAGGAAAGAGTCCAAGAGGCCGTCCTGGTGCTCCTCCTGGACTTGCGAACAGATGCAGGGGGACTCCAAGGCCATTACGGAGCTATGTGTCACTGAGTCCAAAGGGACAGTCTCTACACGGAGCAGAGGAACTCAGGAAGGTGCTGGGTGGAGGGGCGGCAGGCAGCGGGGCGCAGCCGGGGACCCCTGGGAGAGCCACATCTGCAGCGTGCCCTCTCTTGGGGCAGCAGAGACGGCTGCGTGTGCATTTCCTTCCTCCCATACTGCAAATCCATCCCCTGCTTACCTCGGGTGCTGGCACGGGGCTGTGCAGAGAAACACGCAGGAGAGAAGATGGGCTGGTCGCCTAGGAGAGGGCATGACTGCCCTGGGGAGAGTGGCTGGGCAATTACTCACACAGACGATTTCTTCCAAGACCCACAGCTTCTCAGCAGGGCCCTGGGAAGGCCACTATGTGCCCTAGGGTAAGTCATTTGCTTCTGAGAGCTGCATCTCCATCTGCAGATGAGAAGTGCCTGCTGCCCAGGCCCTGGTGCATCTGCCACGCCTGCACTTCCATACTCCGACCCAACAGAGCGATTGATGATCAAGGGCGTCGGACCTCGCCCTGTGCAGAGGGGCTGGCCCCTGGCTCAGCTTCCCTGGACAAGCCCCATCCACCAAGTGAGCGTCGGCTCAGCGCTCGTGGGGTGCCAGGAGTGGACAGGCTAGGGTGCTGTAGTGGATTTTCCTCGTGGTTTAACTCCACACTGGCGCATTTTTATGGCAGGCTTCCCACCTCCCTCCTGCTAAGGGGACAACAGAACATGCTGTCTTCCCATGTCAACTGCTCGGGCTGGAACCCTGCTTCTCCCCCCTGAGGAGAGCATGACCTGCGTGAGGGGCACTCCCCTCTGCCTCGGTTGCCTGGTCTATAGAATGAGGACTGAGACAGTGTAAAGTCCTTCAAATAGCCCTGACACAGGAAGCCCTCAATAAGGTCACTTCTTTCGGGGCGAATATTATCAGGATGCTGTTTTGAAAAGGAAGCGCACGGTCGCTGTGGCACACCTCCGAGAGTGTCTGACTTGGCCCTGATCGCTGCCTGAGGCCCGCTGCACAAGGTGCAGCTTCAGGTCTTCACTTGTGCCTGGTGACCTCGTGGGAGGTGCCTCCATCTCTTCCCATTTTGGGAGGAAAACACGGCGTGCAAATCCCCAGCCATCCACAGAATCCCACCTACGGGATGACTCGGTTCCTAGAAAAGAGACCAGGAAGAGAGGCCACAGGCAGGCTCTTCCAAACTGAGGCTTGGCCCCAGAAAACCCTGCCTCTGATGTCTCTGGACCATTGGATGGGAACCCCCTCCTCAAATCCTGGCTCTGCTCAACACTCGGGATGCGGTTGGTCTGTTTGTCAGACCCCACACATTACGTCAACAGGTAAGAGATGAAAACATGTCGCAGCTGCGTCTGTCCATCGGCCATAGCAGGTTTTCAAAATCGGCTGCGTTTTCCTCTCATGGCATATGGAAATTGGATGCTAAATTTTTGTTGGAAGTACTTGGGTCTATATTTAGACTTCATGAAATTGAAGTGGAAACCAGATCCACGCATCCCAGTTGTTCCAAACAAACTTTAAAGTTTTCCAATAACTGAGTCAAGTGTTAGTTTTGAATTTTCATTTTAATTAAGTAAAATGAAACATCTGCTCCTCAGTCACGTGAGCCACGTTTCAAGTGCTCAAAAGCCGCATGTAGCTGGTGGCGGCCGCTGCACAGGCTGGTGCCCAGAGAGAGCAAGTCTTCCTTCCATCATCAGTCCTGAAAGATCCCTTCCTGGGTGCCTCAGGGAAATGGGCGTGCTTGTGCACATCTCCACTGAACACATGAATGTTGGAAACTCAGGTACTGGCATGGGGGTGTGTGGGCAGCTGCAGGAGCCAGAGGAGGGTCCTTCCCCAGCCCCCAGCTCTAGCCACCGTGTCCCTGGGAGAGGGCATTGCCAGCTATGGGGAGCCACCAGAGCTCCCCCGCTACCCCGTGCCCAGCCCTGCATTTTAGTAGACAGTTTTCTCCCACTATATTTATTGAGTAGCTATTACAGGCTTGGTATTGTTTAGGTGCTGGGGACACAAACACATACAGATAAAACTGCTGTCTGCAGGAGCCACATTCTCCTGCCAGGTAGGGTCCTGAGGCTGATCAGCCTTACCGAGGTTCGGACCAGGCCTGCAGGATCTGCCCTTTTCAATCTTGAGCTCTTCTCCTTGTCCCTCATACCCTGTGAACGCCACCCAGCCTATTGCACATTTCGGGTCCCACACGCCTCCTGGGGCCCGGCCCACCTCCACCCTCCCCACCTCTCCCTCCTTCTCATTCCTCGAGGCCCACAACACTGTGGTAGCAGGAGGCCTCACCAGCTTGTGGCTCAGCCTGAAGATGATAAAGCCCATGGGGCCCACCCAACATCTGGAGCCAGGAGGAGCATGACATTCCTTCTGCCCTCACCGCTGAACCTGAGGGGAGAGCAGCGCCCACCTGCAGGGGTGACCTGCCTGGTGCCGTCCCCCTACCCTCCACAACCTCGCCTCTCCCCAAAGGGCCAACAGGCTCTACGTGCCCTAGGTGCCCCCTCACATCCTGACATCCCTGAGCCTCAGTTTCCTTGCCTGTCAAATGGGGAGAATCTGCCCCCTGCAGGTGGTAGAATTACATGGTGGATCCGCATTACCAGCACTAGTCCGTTCAGCGTGACATGTACGCTCTGTGTGAAGTGACGTGGCACGTGGGCGAGAGGCGGGCATCCTGGAGCCCCCTCTACCACCCCTTATGGACTGGGTGTTACCTGTGAGTCCCTTCAGCACTGTCCTCACCTCGACGGCAGTTGTGATATCAAACGGGTGGATTTATGTGGCTTTACTGACGTGGAGCAGGCGGATGGGCCAGCTGCCGGCTGTGCGGCCTGGGGCGGGTGGGGGGACAGGAGTGCAGGGGCAGCCCTGAGGCTGAATCCCTAGGACCAGGAGGTGGGAGAATTCCCCGAGGGAGGGAGAGAGGGGTGCGGTGTGAGCACAGACGCATCAGGAATTCAGTGGATAGTGTCCCAGACAGGAAAGTCGGACAGAGCCACAGAAGCATGCGTGTTACACTGCATGAAGCAAGGACCAAAGAGCAGACGGTGGGGGCCCAGGGGTCGGGCAAACGGACCCGAGAGCAGGACAAAGGACAGCTTTTTCAGGCTGAGCATTCAGAAATCTGTGGCCTTAAATTTACATACATTACTTCGTTAAAAAGAAAAAGTTAGAACAATACTAGATTTCCTTAATTCAATAATCATAGTAACAGACTCTGAGAGGCAGGGATATCGGAATGGATTATGTCAGGTTCATCTGTGGGTCATTTTTAAATGCTGGAGCAGCCACCAGTGAGTAGTACGCAGCAGTTAAAGAGAATGAGGTACATCTAATGTACCAAGGTGGAAAGGTGGGGCACGCTTGTACTGAAAACATATTTGTTGTTTATTCGAAATTCTGATGTAACTGGGTGTCCTGCATCTGCGTTGCTAACTCTGGTGGCAGCCCTGTGCTTTGAAGATCTGGGCCCTTTTGAGGGCTTGATGAGAAATGCGGGCCTTCTTCTGGAAGAGAGACCAGGCCCCACTCTGCAAACAATCCCAGGGACGGATCCCTCCGAAAGTCCACCCATGGGTTTAGATCAGGACCCAGCCAACTTTTTCTGCAAGGTGCCAGATGGCAAATATCTTCAGCAAAAGCGGCTATATACAGTACATATACAAACGGGCATGGGTGTGTGCCAATAAAACATTACAAGAAATTCAAATTTCAGTTCCCATAAATAATTTCCATATGTCAAGAAAAATATTCTTCTTTTGATTTTTCCCTTTTAAAAGTGTGAAAACCATTCTTAGTTGGCAGGCGGAAGTGCACCAACCCCTGGTTCAAGCCCTGGGGGGATCCCTGGTGGGCTCCCCTCCTCGCACCAGGCACCGCCTCCCCATTTCTGCTGCAGCCAGGGGCCTCCTTTAGAATGAGGAGGACCTGACTGCTGTCCTCACGAGACATGAATAATTTGGAAGGAGCCTGCGCTGGTGGGGATTTTTAAGAAGACAGTTGCCAGAGAAGGAATAAAGGCTGGCATCTACCAGCGTGGTCATCTCTCTGATGATTCAGTCCAGCTGGGCCCTCAGCCCCAGGGTGTCCTGCCTCACAGCTGCCAGAGACGAGCACAGAAGTGGTCTTTCCTGCTGGGAGGGCCCCTTGAGGCAGGAGGAAGGGGCTGCCGGTGCGCCATGCAGCTCGCGCAAGTGCTTGGCGCTTCCTGGGAGAGGAGTGTGGGAGGTCCCGGCAGCTCTCTGATGCCAGGCCCTGCCTTGGCACCTGCTGGGGCACCAGGGATGTGCCCAATCTGGTGGTGGCTTTTAGGAGGAGATAGGAGAGTCCTTGGGCCTCCTCCCTATCCCTCGGGTCCTGAGGCGGCTGCTCACTTGCTCTGGTCTAGCTCCTGCGCCACTTGCTGTCGGCCTGGCTGTGGTGGCCCCAGGGGGGTACTGGGAGGGTGTGTGTGGCTTCCCAATGGGGGGTGGCGGCACAGATGTGATGGGCAATGTATCAGTGGGCGTAGCAAGGCCTCTCCTAAGTTCAGTCCTCCAACTAGGGAGGAGAGCCCAACAGGGACAGAGTGTCATCTCTCTCTGAGGCTGGATCAATTCAGAGGGTGGTCCTGCAGCAGAACCCGCCTTCCCCTGGGTCCTGAGGGCCTGGAATGCTAGCAGCCCAGAGGACGTGCTCGGAAAATATCTGTTAAGTGATCACATTTAATCAGTGCTGAGATTCTGCCCTTCTTGCCCACCTTGCCCGTAGGGGGTCCAAATGCTCTGCCTTTTATGAGAAGTGGCTTTAGAAGGTGGCTACTTTTTAATGCCCTTTCTTCAGACAGTGAAAGGTAGCCATCTCTCCTCTAATTATTTTTATGATTTGATGGTCTATAACATCCCAAATCTGAGGACTCTTTCCTTAAATGAAGAGTGGGAACATCTAGCAGTGTGTTTATCAGCTAGAACAGAGGCACCGCGGCACCCCTGGAACGGCCCCTGATGACCCTTGGGCCCTGCTTGCCGAGCAGGTGCTTTAGACACACAATGTCCCTGTGCTCCAGCACCTGCTTGGCAAAACAAGGTGTTGCAGAGCATTTCATTCTAATCCCTAGGAAGATACTGAGGAGACTCTCTGGCTTGAACCAACAGACGAAAAAAAGTCAACCTTTTAAAGGCTAGACAATAGAATCCACAAGGTCAGCGTATGGCTTTGTGCGCTCCCTGAGCAACCGGTGAGAGGCCTTCCACGGGGGCTGGCCTGCATCTCTGGGAGCCAGCCCGACGGGTGGGAAGACGTGGGATCAGGAGCAGAAACACAACGTAGACACCTGGAAATCCCTTGTGCCTGGAAACCAGCTAAGGAGAAACAGAAAGTGAGCTGGGTCCCGGGGACCGTCCGTAGCGCCCCCCGCCACCAAGTCAAAATGAAGACAGGCAGGAGAATGAGTGGGGGACAGACGGGCTGAAATTTCATTAAGAGGGTCTTGAAAATCAACCTGTCAGATTAGATGTTTGTTCTTTCCAAGTGGTTTTTAAATTTTCAGGGTTTTTTTTTTTTTAAGGAAATAAATAATTCTACAGATACTTCTTCCCAATCAGTGGTCTGCCTTTTAAATTAACCATTTCTCTGGCTTCCCCTCTGATTGGGATCATGTCCTTCCTCACTCTTTCTGAAGCGCTATTGTGCAGGGTGTTATTCGCTTAGCCACACACAATGTAACTTTGAAATGTGATGGAAAAAAAAATTAGCATTTGCAGTGAACTGGAAAGAATGCATCTGATTTCAAAATGTGTACTTAAAAAAAGAAAAGGAGCACCCAAATTGATTCGACCAACTCTAGGGCTTATTCTGCCAAGCCAAATCTGAAATGCATTTTTGCAAAGGGACTTTATTTATGATTTTTTAGAGGAAAGAAATACGAAGATCCAGGTCCAGGAAAAAGAAAAAAAAAGCATCTTGAGGATTTAATACAGCGTGGATTAATCAAAGTGCCTGCTTTTAAGCTGTGTGCCCCCACAGAGGAGTGAATTAATGAGCCATTTATGCAATGAATATATTTTTTTCTTTAATTATCTAGGTATTTTAGACGAGCCTGCTTCTTCTGACCTGGATTCTCCAGATACTTCTCCGCAATCTTAGTTTTACTTTGCATGCATAATTACCGCCTCCGGTTGCTCAGAGAGCAAGTGTCAAGGAAGGGGGAGCCTCTCTCACCGCCCCCCACCCTCATGCAAATCAAGTTGGTTGCTTGCCAGGCAACCTCAACTCTTGCCTGAATTTTTTTGAATGAGGGATCCGTTTTGGAATTATCCTTAGTCCAGTGTCTCCAAGACTGGGGCTGGGGTGGGGGCGCTTTAAGAAGAATACAGACCCTAGACCCCATTCCTGGAGAACGTGGACTTTTAAAGGTCCATTAGCAGAGTGGCCAAGCCCCGCCCCCATCCCCCCCAGCCCCACCCAACTCACTTCTTTTCTTAGTAGAAAATGCTAAGTGAGGCAAGTCAGCTCATTTGCTGCCTTACAAGGGCCACCTGGGTCTGGCCCCAAGGGCTGGGGTCATGTAAGTGACGAGAGTTGGGGTGTTCCTCTCTTACTGCACAAGCCCACGGCAGTGGAGACCCCCTCAAGCAATGCTTGGGAGCCTCGGGAAGCAACCCGAGCCTACGGTCTGCGTTGCTCCACGGGTCCATAACACTGGGTCTAGGTCTTCAGTTCCATAATTGTCCTGGCTTTCAGGAAATGGGGAGGGGGCTGGGGGCACGAGGTGGGTGAAATTCACAGACTAGCATCCATAGCATGTCAAGGTCAGTCGTCTCCCTCCGCAGCTTTATCAAAATGGACAGCCAGGTTGCAAGGAACAATAAATGGGGACCACCAAGAAGGCCAGAGCATCGATGGCTCCAGCAGCAGACATTGGTAGGTGAGATGTCCATGTCCCTTCCTCTCACCCAGCAATCCAGGGACCTTGCCGGACAGCAGGGAGCATGGCTCAGAACTCAGGGAGGGGTCCTGATGTCGCCGCTGAAGCCGTGGCCTCCAGGCCTCCCAGCCATTGGCCTTGGTGCTGTCATTTCATGGATAGCACTTGGGTCTTTGCAGGGCCTCTTCTGTCCTCTCCTGGGTACCCTCCCAACCAGGCCCTTTCCTAAAGCCATAGGAGGGGATTCTAGGAGGGGGCTTCGTGTTCAGCGTGACCCAGAGTGCTTGATCAGGGAAAGAACCAACTGCCGCCAGGCCCTTCTCCCTCCAATCCAGCCCCTGGATTTGCTGAGCTGCGAGGCGCAACTTTGGTCCCAGGGTCACTTCTCTCCACGTGGCCCCCTCTTAGGAGTAAGGGGGGGCCTGGCTCTGCGACGGCTGAGACGGATCTCCCACCCCACCCCACCCAGACGGACCTCTCATCTTCCCCACCAGAGAACTGCCGGGAACCAGAAAAATCAAGTTCAGGAAAGTGCAAGAGGGGATGCTTCTTCCGGCCCCCCTCCCTCTGCCACATTTCCATTAGCACTGAAGTCACAGCCTCCAGAGCCGTGGCGGCTTCCCGGCTTGGATAATTATTTTCTCATTAGTTCCATTCACATTCACCTGCAACCTTCATTAGACACTGGTGTATAAAATGGTCGCCTTTGGGTACACATGGCGGTCTGGACCCACACACAGCCCTGTGCAGCCTGCCTGCCAGCCCACCACCCCACACCCACTCCCTCCAGCGTGGAAGGTGGGCATCCGGCTCCGGTCTCCTGGGCATTGATCTGGATTAAGAATCGCCATCTTCCTGTGCCTGGGGACCCGTGGGGGAGGGATCTCGTGCAGGGATTAGGGGAGAAGCTGCGCCCCAAGCCTGCGGGGCAGCTGGAGTACCTGTAGAGTCTGCGGGGTCTTCCCTGAAGACGTCCAGCTTCAGGGACGGAAACTGGTGGCTGAAATTTGGGACACACAGCTCTGTACAGCATCATCCCCTTCCCCCAGCAAATCTACTTGGCTTTCAATGATCTGGCCTCTTGGACTCCCTAACTCAATATGATCAAGAAAAGAGGAAAAACTAGGCATTTGCAGTGAGCTTTCAGTCACTCTGCTGAGCCACCCTGCAGAGCTGACAGCCCAGGGGCCAGCGTTCGGAGCTGCGCAGTGGCCACCCACAGGCACTCACTCCTTCAACAGCATTTATTCCGTTCTAAACTAGTTCTGGGACTTGAGCAGGGGGCTGAGGAAAGCCCGTCCCCATGAATTTATTAGGTGGCTGCGCACGAAGCTGCCGATACCTGGCTGCCGTTGACCTGCGTGGCATCACTGAGCCCGCAGCTCCCCGGCTTTCCGCACGCTGCGCCTCTGCTGTGCCGGCGCCGAAGGGCTCATCGGTGTGACTGTGGGCAAGCTGCCTGACCTCTCAGCGTCTCCACTTGCCCGTCCGTGAATGTGAGTCTCACCAGCACGACCCTCCGTGGATGTGGATCAAGCATGTGGCGTGTGTACAGTCAGTCAGCACTCGTGTGGTGCGCATCCGGGTTGCTTTCTGTAGGAGAGCTGTTAGTGCTGTCTGCTCGTGCCTGTTCCGGGCCTGGCAGCCTCCAGAACTTTTTTCAGGATTGTCTTAGAAATCTCAAAAAGACCTTCTGGAAGCATGTCCACAGACCAGCCAGGAACAGAACTCTCATTCCCCAGGAACTTACCGCTCCCAGGCTCAATCCTAAATAAAGTTGGATGGAAGGA